CCATTCCAAGCCTCAAACCACAACACAGGAGACACTGTTTTTCTCCAGGCTGCATTCCCTGCTCTCTGAAGGGCAGCAGCAGAGTATGCACTTAGTTTAAGTCATGAATGCAAGGGTTAAACTTACTTCAGAGCAGCTTGAAAAGTGAGGGTTAGTTTTTATGGAGGGAAAGGGATTCATCTTATGTAAGTGCTGGAAATCAAGAAAGGAGCTTTGCAGCCCAGAAAGAGCCTCCAGGGTGAAATGTCAAAGCCAAGTGCATTTTCTGGTCTCAGTATAGTTTTGAGATAATCCCTTTTGTTGCATTAACGGCCCCTGAACAGGGCAGTACTTTTTCCATGCTTTCACAGGCTGCTTATGGGCAACTCTTTTCCTAACTAATATGTATGTATGTATGCATCTGGATTCTTATCTGGGCTGAGCTCTGAAATCTGGAGTAACTTCTTAGATGGAATCAGTGGATTTACTCCAAGTTCACTTGCCTGTAGTTGAGATTAAATCAGCTTTAAAAAAAACCCCCAACCACTTCACAAGATTTAACATCCCCAAAATAACCATTAAAACGTGTGAGGAAGGCATCTTTTCTGCATAGTTTCTTGTGTGCTTTTTAACTCCTGAGCTTACAGCCCTACCTGAGCGTGTTAGAAAAGGCTGGGGCTGCAGTGCTGGTGTCTGGGCTGGCTTCCTCTTGCACTGCAGTGCCTCCAAACTACAGTGCTCAGTCTGCTCTGCCCACACACTCCTCCGTGGAGTGGAGACCTGTGCAGTGTGAAGTTGCAGCTCAGAAAATATAGTCAGATGTGTGACTAGAATGTGCCTCCGTTTTCAGGGGGTTTCTGCAGCAGTAAGTCTCCAAGCAGTTTCTGGAGGAGGTAAGATGGTTTCTGAGGCAGGCAGATTGCTGTAGCAGAGAATCTTGATAATCTTAGGCCACAGCACTAACCACACATCTTGGATTAGATGCCATCACCAAGAACCAAATGCAGTGAAGCTGTTTCTGACTTTTACTAAAAAGTAAGAGTCCTGATCCAGAGAGAGAGAGAGAGAGAGGAGCTGTGTGTAAACATGGTCAGGAACAGCTTTGCCTTGGGAAAGGAGCTATAATGGCTAAAGAAAAGGTTGAATTTGTGATGTAATGGCCCAAGAAGTGTTTGCGGGTATCATGTATTGTCTGTTTTGGCTCTTGTTTTTTGCACATGCAGTGCCCATGGGAAACAGGGGCTGTTTGCCACCTCATTCCAATTTGCTTGCGCTTCCTATCATTTCATTGCCTTGCAGGTAGAACAATATTAACAAACCACAGAAATTAGAGATGGAAATCTGTCACTGCAGAGCTCCCTGCTGCAGTCTGCCAGAAACACACAGCAATGATGGCAAGGGTTCACCTGCCGAGGGCAGCCCTCCCCTCACTGCAATTCAGGACATGCCTAAAGTACCACTTTAGTACTGCAGGAGTCTGAAACGCAAGGAATTGTGAAAATGTTGGCCTGTTGGTTCATGTACTGAGCTCTCCTGCTGTGTCACTAAGTTTGTGAAACCACAGGTTCTCCTGTAATAACTGTGCTTATTGTGAGCCTACAGAAAAACTATTACCATCTTAACCTGTTGGGCTGTTCCTCAGATCCTGCTTCGCATTTAGCCCTGGGGACCAAGCTGGCATGGACTTCTGACAGCAGGGAACAGTTGCTGCAGCAGGCTGTTGCTTATTCTACAAAAAAAAAATGAAAAAGAAAAGAAAAAAAAGCTTAAAAGTTTTACAGTAGTCTGGTGGAAAATGGACTTAAAAAAATAATAGTGTGTTGAGGATTTTGCTTGTTTCCCATTGTTTTGTTTTGGCTACAAAGTATTAAAAAAAGTGCTTGCATGACAGAGGATGACATTCCTTGATGATCTGCGGTAGGAAACTGCTGAAGTTTTAAGCCAAATTAACGGGTTCTGAAAATAAGAGTACTTGCCTACTTCATGCTTTCTGTTCTTTTTCCTTCTTTTCCTGTCTTTTGGGTTCCTGTGTGCTTTCGTGCAGGTCCATTGACTGTAGGCTAGTTAGACTAGATTGTGGCACAACTACAACTCAATCCTAATGTTGTTGCAATTAGCTCTATCTTACTAAAATGTAAATCATGCTTCAACCTTATCTTCTTCAGCATCACTCCTTTTAACCTTACCCTTAGGATCACGCCATTAGCAGCTTTGTGATTTGGGATTCCAGTGTGTTAGCTATGTGATTTTCTTCCAGAAGCCATTTGGGAATCCATTTCCCTCTGTGTTCATTCTTAACTGCTGAATCCAGTAGTCTTGCTGCCTTGCTGTGTGTGGATCTAGACCCTGAGTTTCTTACCTGTTTATCCCTCAGGGAGTTCTGTGGGCTTTTCAGCAAGATACTTTGGTTTCTGTTGTGTCCCTGTGTGGTGGGTAGAGCCCTGGACTGCAGCTTTAATGTCTTACTTGCTAGGCCCCTGTCAGCGGAGCAAACCACTTTATTGCCATGTTTCATGTTCCTGCTCTGCAGGAGGAAAGTTGCAGCAGGTCTCCTTTAGCCACCAGTGGAAAGTGCCATGTGGAGCTGGCATTGCTACATGCCTGCACTGTGTTGGTGCCCACGCAGCTAGGGTGGGAGCTGCGGTCCGAGATGAACCCTTGCTCCTCTGTAGCGCCCGGCTTCTCTCTGTAACTGTTGTGGCAGTAGGTCAGGACGTTGTGGCAGATGTTCAAGAATAACCCCCAGAAGCAGCACCTTTGCAGCGGCTGTGTAAGCTCTAACGTGGTGCTGGCTGTGCCCTGGACAAACAGTGCTGTTGCTAAGGCAGAAATTCCCAAGCTCGAGCAGGGGTTGACATAAATCCCAAGACACTGACATTTTTTGCATTTTTTGTTTTCTGGATGCATTCATGATTCTGTAAGAAAAGGCCTGTTCTTGAAAATGTGAAAGTGTAGGGAATTTCCTCTTAAAACCGCCTTGTGCTAAAGCAATTAAATAATGTTTGTGTCAGGTAATTACTTCCAAGGGAAAGATGAAACTGCTGAAAGGCAAAACAGCAGAGTGAAAACCGTCTATAGGTTTCTGAGGCATTGCTTATTGGAAAGGGAGGTGTCATTGCCGAGATTAGCTTTTCAGAGGTTTTAAAGTAGAGTTCAATAGCTATAAAGGCCAGATTGTTTGGCACCAGCATCTTCGTTTGTAACTCTAAATGTCTGCTTGCAGTTAATGTAGGTGCAATAAACATGTGTGCAAGAGAATTCATGGGGAAAAAAAACCAGTGCAAGTGCCATAAGAAATGTGTTGCAGCAAAATGGAAGCATAGTTAAGTGGGGAAAAAAAGATGTTGATACCCATTTCTGAAAAATGGGAGAACTCTAAAATAACAATAAAGAAGTTGTGAGTGGTTGACAGATCTGATGTTGTCTGTGGATTTTCCTATGTCTATACTTCTCTGTGTATTATATGGCACCTGTACTGGACCAGAGATAGCACCACTGCCTGGTGCTGATCAGTGTGTACAACAGAGGCTTTTATTCCTCAGTACAAGCAAGAATTATTGTCCCTGTTCATCCTTAGGAAGCCCAGGCAATAGCAAAGTGCCAAGCTCTCCAAGAAGGCAGAGAAACTGTGCCGAGAAGCAGACTCACAGCTCCTCAAAGATGGGATGTTTTTCTTTTTCTGATTTCCACATTGACTTCCATCCTATCATGTGCTTGCTTGCAAGATCACCTCAGCAGGGGAGTTGTGCTCTTTTTTTTTTTTTCTTTTCATAGCAGTCTCACTGTAAAGTTGCTTAAACTTCTTGGTACAGACCAGGAGGGATTGTAGATCTCTAGCTGGAGCACGGGCAGGTGCAGAGAGCTGTCTACCTCCAGCCTGCCCGAGTTCAAGTGTGAGATTCAGCTGGGGTTCAAAGTGTGCCAGTGTCTGGGGAGAGCTGCTCTTTTGTCCCTCTGTGTTGCTGGTCCCCAGGTGTTATTCCAGATCCTTCTGCACCCTTTTTTCTTCAGGGGGAGCTGCCTGGACTAAGATAGCTTTCAAGTCTAAAACTAAATCAGGTGCTAAGTAACTGCATTGAAGAGTTATGGATAAGCTAATTAAATTCATTGAGCAATAGGAATTGAAATTCCTTTTAAAAAATGCCAAGTAGAATTAGTGGTATACTAAGTACAGCAACTGAAAGCACTCAATTTCCAGCTCAGAGGGGCATCATTGGAAGAATTAACATAACACTTGAATTAAGGCAAGTAATTATTGAATTGATTTAAAGTTACACAGGAATAAGTCTTCAGTTCAAAATGCTGTTCGTTTCAAAGAAAATGCCTCCGTAGTTATACAGGGAGAGCCATGGAAGTGCCTGGAGGGTGGGCACTGGAGAAGACTTTGTGTGGTTTCATGGAAGAGCAGTGAGGAAGCTCTGCTAGCAAGTCTCAACTATTCTGGACTGGGCACTAGAGGGATGGGCTGGCCCTGATGTAGATGTGCAAAACCCATGCTGGGACTCCTCCTGCCTTTTGACACGGCCTCTGCCACCCACTGCTGCTGCAGCGTTGGCTACAACGCTCGTTTTCCTGCCTCAGCTTTGCCATTTGTAACTAAAATCAGTAGCAGCCACCACTGGGGTTGTTCAGAGACCGCCTTGTGTTACAATGCTTTTCACCTCCATGCTGCTCCAGTAGTGCTCAGTATTACTGTTATTACATGATGCTTTCTTAGCTTGCAGTTCAGAAAAGCAGCTGCCTTCCGTGGGCTGGTGTAAGCTACCATTATGCTGGGTGGTATTATGTACACTACTGTACTTCTGGCATCCGGGGCTATCATTTAGATTAATTTGGAAATTGTGTAGTGACTTCAGGAAAACTGCTGTTGAATTGGAGTTTATTAGCCTGGAAAATATAATTAATCCCCAAACCCCTGTAAATGTGTAATAAATGCAATACTGAATGGTCTTGCATATACACCAGAGTACTGGAATATAACATTTGATGCCTTTTTCTGTTCTTTTTTTTTTTTTCCCCAGTATGGGGTACTGCATCCTTTTTGTCCATGGTCTAAAAAAGCTATCTACATGGTTAAATAAGTGGAGAATTGCTGTTCTGACCCTCTTTGGTTTACTGCTGCTGCTCTTCTCTTGGAAGACCGTGAAACAGAATGAAATCTGGCTGTCACGAGAATCCCTTTTCAGGTATGAGTGACCACGGAAAAACACTTCCATTTTTGTATTTTTTAAAATATGTTTGCTAGGTGGAATAGTTTTCTTCAGCACTGGTCTTGCTGTGGATGCATTGCTGTGATTAACATTTTGATTATTATAAAATAACACCTACTTTCTCTTTTCTGGCAACATTGCAAAACCTGGTGTCAATACTTTATATGCTTATGTACAAACCTTGCTTCTGACTGTTGCATTTTTAAGACACGCTGTTTTAAAATATCTTCAGTTCTGTAGATTTACCAATAATGTAACACTTCTGGTTTTAAAGACATATCAAAAGTTTGTTGCAGCCCTCCAGAACAACATAGTAACACTACTGAATAGATCGAATTTTCTTTAGCGATGTTCTTAATGACAAAAATGTAATGCCATGAAGTGCCAAACTTAATGTACCATATTTCATTTGATTACTCTTTGCCAAACAGCTCTCTTTACAACCTCATTTATGTATTTTTTGCACTGAAACAGACTTTCATTTTGTGTTTTGCTAGCAAATGTATTGCATTTGCCTCCAGCTGCTTTCAGCAGTTGTCTAATTGTGAAGTAATTGCAGAAACGCAGGTGATCTGCACATGGGTTGCTTAGCTTTATTTTCTAACTTATTGGCCAGAGCAAAGTTTAATCTATGTATCACTAAAGAGTATGAAATTATTTTTTACATGTACCATTCGGTCTTCAGGAAACAGTGTTGAAGTGTTTGGAGCTCTGTCAGTGGGACTTTTTTTAAAATAAAAAAAACAACTCTGGAATAGGAATTTCTTCACTCTGACATGACTCATTGCCCATCTCCCTGAAACACTGCTGTTCAAACAACAGGAGCCGTGGTGACCGGTCTGGGCTCACACAGCAATCCCTGTGAAGCACACCCCCAGTTCAAACTCTTCTGGCTGGTGGTGGCCACCCAGAGGAAAACGGGACACCTTTCTAAGTTAGATGACTCTCCTGTTGAAAGGGGGGTGGGAAGATGGCAATTCCATATGCCAAGCTGCAGGCATCATCTGATACCATGTTGTCTACTGTTGTGGTCACCAGTGTTTAAGAACGATGACATTGAACTGGAGCAGGTGACAGGAGGACATCTCCTCCTACTAAGGAGCACTATTGGGATGATATGGGGTGACAGGGGGGTCTGTTGCAGAAGAGAAGGGTAAGGTTATGTCTGCTTAGTTGGATGCAAATAGGATTCTGTCCATTTGATGTTTCTTCAAAGCAGCATGACTGCCTGCAAGCCAGCTCCAATTCAGAATCCATGTCACTGCTTCAGTGCAGCACTGAGCTGGAGCTGGTACACCATGCCTCAAGGTAGGGATTTGTTGTTGCCTGGGGTAGTACGCAGGGCTGGGTGGCTTTGCTCCAGTTGGCTTACTCTTCAGCTCACATCTTTTGGGGACAATTCCAGGAGAGAGAACTACTCTGGGCTTTTGAGTAGGAGGCGAGAACATAGGCATGCTCTTGGTGGGTCACCTCGTATCATGGCCTGCCCCTGAGGGCTATCAGCAGCAGATGCCTAGAAAAGCAATGTAAGAATGGGGCCAGCAATAGCGATGCTTCTCTCCAGTCCTTTCCCAGCTTGCAGTAATCTGCAGTTTAAAGACTTCCTGAGTTGGGACTTACTTGCTTTTTTTGCTTTTAACAGCCTCTGAAGGACTTTTTTTCCATTAATGTCTTTGACTGCTTTTTCATATCTATTTATAGTTTTGGCTTTTACAGCATCCTGTGCACTGGGCTCTGTCATTAAATTACACAGTGAGCACACTAAGATTTCCCTTCTGTGTGCTGTGAGCCTTCTACCTGATCATCTTGTCTGGTGTCCCCTAGTTCTAGTGTGCTGAATGAGTAGTGAGTAACCATCTCTTGTCCTCGGCCTTCCATGCCTTTACCCTTATGCCCTCCCCCAAGGCTGTCTCTTTTTCATACTGGTTTTCAGCTCTCCTCATATGGAACCTGTTCTGCATTTCTGATCCTGCTTGTCGTTCTTTGCTGGATGCTTTCAAATTCTGATCCATCCTTTTGAGAAGACCAGAATCACCTTTCAAGAGACATGTACAGCACAGTAATGTAGGACTGCTTTTTGTTTTCTGTTCTCTCCTACTAGTTCCTGATCTTCCACTTGCCTTTTGTGTCCTCTCCTAAGCACTGGGTGGCATTTTCACATCACTGTCCACATGAACTCAAAGATACCTATTGTGAGTGGAAGTGTCTGACTTATACACATCAATCTGTATGCAGATTTATGTAGATTTGGTGTGTCTATACACATGTTCTGATACTCAAGCCTGTATCAAATTGCATTTCATCTGCCATCTTCTTGCCCAGTCTTCAATACCATCTGATCCTTCTGTGACAATTTTTAGTGAGCTTTAATTCCTGCAGCGTGATTCACATCAATGTCATCAGCATACATTGCCTCTCTGTTTTCTCCCTTTTCAAGATCCTTTGTGAACATGTGAAGCAGCTCAGATGCCACTGCATGTCACTTGGGAATCCTGCTTGCAGTCTTGTCCAATTGTAAAAACTGTTTACATTACTGTGCTATTTGCTTGCTGTCTCTCAACTAGATATTGATTCAGGAGAGGACTTTCCCTCTTTCTCCATGATGCCTTTAAGAAATGCCAAATCTTTAGTGAGGAATTCTATCAAAAACCTTTTTGAACATTTAAGTACACAACATTGATGCATGTGATTCTGACTGGCTGGGTTGTATTTGTATTTTCATAACAGCTTTCCATAGTTTCAGTACGATGTACTTGTTGAGCCTGTCAAAGAACAATAGATCTACCCAACTAACTTCCTTTTGCAAAATACAGAGTTAATTCTTCTCTTTTGGGTTGTAGTTATCCAAAAGTTTGCTAGAACTAGTCTTTATTGTGTTTTTCCCCAAATCACCTGGAGTGTAATTCAGACTTGCTGGTCTGTAGTCCCCCTGATGCCCCCTGGAGCCAAGTGATGTCATATTCATCACCTCCCATTTCTCTAGTGCCAGCCTCATCTACATACCACAACTAATAGCAGCTTCAGGTCTCATTTCCTTTGGATAATACTACAAGGCCAAATGGATTTATTGGTGTTGATTTGTTTTAAAGCCTCTTCTACTGCCACTTCAGTTTGAGACAGTGCTTCCAACTTGCCTCTGTAAGGAAGGGCTTTCTGTAAGGAAAGCTTAACTTCTTCTTAAAGAAGAAGTTACCTTGTGGCAACCTGCTTAGTTCCCCTCCAGTGAACAGTGGTACAGATAATCCATTTAGCTTTTCTTCCATGGACTTTTCTTTTTCAAGCACTAGTTTTAGATCTCCGTCATCTATTTGCCTTAGGGGATCGTTGGCAGGTTTCCTATGTTTGATGTATTCCATTATTAGCTTTGATGACATTAGCAAGTTTTTCCTTAAATCTCTTTTGGTCTGCCTAATTATGGTTTATGTTTAACTTGCTGAACTTGATAATCTTTTTCCTTTTTCTTTCTGTAGCTGTGGTGTTCAATTTTTTAAAGGGTGTTTTTAATTTCTCATAGTCTTTTTTACTATGCTGTTTAACTATGCTGGCCTTTTTGTTGTCCTTTTAAGATCTTCTTTGATAGGTGTTATACATCTCTAGTGAGTCTGTAATAGGTTAGGACTCTTCTTGTTGGTGGGAAGTGCAAAAGAAGAATGGTATGACAAGAAGATAATGTCATCCCAGGAGTGGGAGATCTCCTTTTTGGGGCAGGAAGAGGAGGCTATATATAGGCTGATGAGGAGAGGAGGGAGAAGTGGATGGAGGCATGTGCAACAGCAATAAATTAGAAAGGACAGAGCAGGAGGAGGAGGTGATAAGGAACGGTAAAGAAGTATGAAGGAAAATAATAAGGAAACAGAGCAAATCTATAGATGTGGGAAAGAAAACATAAATCAACGTAGTTGGTAGTCTCTGCGTGTGTTGAATTTTTTTTTTTCCCCCCAAGAAGTATGTGCTGAGAGAATCTTTACTCCCATTCCTAGTTCTTCATTCTTCTTTCTCCAGTTGCTGCTTTAATTAATTTGCTTTTTCACACCTCTTATTTTTTTTTCCCTTCACCTCTACTTTCCATTGCTTGGATGTGTTCCTTCAAGGTTGATCTGTCTCGATTTCAGAACAGAGACCTGTTCTGCTATACACGTTTTTCTACACTGGTCCAGGAGTTATTTGTATACTCAGCCTGTTACCAGTTTTCTACTTGTACTCCATTTTGTCCCATTCTCAAGGCTAACCTCTCTTCATTGTTGCACAGCAGCACCGCTGCCATCTCTGGGCCATCCTTACTCTGAGCCTCTAGACCAGGGGACAGGTTTTCTGGATGCAGCAATCCCACCAGGGTCCTGGCTGAAAGAATCCATGTAGGGGAGGATGCTGCTGTGTGAGGAAATGAGGCATCGACACATAGGTGCACAAGCATATGTGCAAGGGCTGAAGGATAAGCAAGTGAACCACAAGTAGTGTCCAGATACATAGAGTTCTAGATGTTTTAAGACACATTATTCCAACAGATCTCTAGAAGCCCTAGACAGTTCAGTTTGTCTTACTGTATTGTTAGGTGGTTGGGAAGAGCTTATTTGCTAAATATTTAAGGAGCTACAGTATAAAGTGAATGCATAGGCCAGGAGTTCAGGCTCCACAGGCTCCAACTGCGGTCAGTGTTAATGTCTGAAGCCAAGGAGAGGGAGGTGAGGACTGTGGGCTAACCTCTACATCCGCTGTACCAACCTTTTCAAGGCTTGTCAAGCTGCTGTGTTTCCTGCTACTCCTGGAAAGCATCTGCGTGCACTGCCCACGCTTGTGACAGTGCCCAGGAATGCTCAGTTGGTAACCAGCAAAGGAACAGTATAAAAGTGGCACTTCCTTAGACAACAGTTCTCCCTCCCAAGCCAGGTCTGCTGGCTTCAGTAGTTTCCCAAAGCAGCCCAACCCGAAAGGTGGCATTCACTGCTGTGTTGTTAATTCTGACAGCTAGCTCAGCTGAGGAGAGCAAGTCCTATTGCCTTTTGTGCATCTTCTACAGAACAGTTTCCTGTGGCCCGTTGTTGGTGTCTGTGAAATCAGTACAAGGGTAGGAAGCCAAGGAAGGCCATTGTTTGTGTCATCCAGAGAATCATTTGCTGTAAAGACCCTTTATTGATGATAATAATTCCCAAAGCAGAGGAGACCCCATTTTCAAAATGAGTGGCTTCATTTGCTTCTAAACTGAGCACTTTTTATAGGGAAATTGCAGAAAATCAGTGAAGTTTTGCCCTGCACCCAGTCGCTTTGCAGAGCAGAACATGTGCTTGGGGAAACAACAGGGGACCACAGAAGACTTTTCCTAACTGAAGTGGGATTTGGGTAGCGTTGGTGTTTGAGGTTGGAAAATACTAGTGGTATTTCATTTCTCTGATTTATGGCTAATAGGCTTTTGCCTTTCCATGGAGAGGAAGTGTTATGTAAAAGAGTTTGCCTATTGTTTAGTTTCCATTTATATCATTACTACTGTCGTAGAAGTCAAAAAGGAAGGAAAGTCTCCATAGAAGTGACGTCTGATGTCGGCGGGCTTGTTTGCTGGCTGGAGCCAGATCGGTTCCACAGCTTCCAGCAGACCACGTGTGCTGGGCTGGGTAAGAGGGAAATAGGAGAGTTTTGAAAAGCACACTGGAAAATTAGACTGAAATTATGAGAGGCTGAGGGCTTGCGGGAAGCAGAAATGGAAAAACATTGTGTTCTGCTTTGTTATTTATACTCCACCCTTTCCTGCTTGGCTTTCATTATGCACATTATTGTTTCCCCTGTCAACGAGCAGTGTTCCCGACTGGTCAAGAATCAATTAGGGGGAGCATTTGCCTAAACTCTCCTAAAAATTCCCCTCCATGTCCAGCGCTGTGTTTGCTGCTGCCCCCCACGGCACCGAGACTCAGTCACTGCTGTCTGCATTTGCAAAATGAAACACCCCCAGCCTGTGCAAGGAGAATAAATAGGTCAGGGATGTGAGCAGTGGGATGCAAAAGAGAGCATTGTAAGAAGCCAAACTGATTTCTGCCTTTCCTTTTCATCCCCACCTCCAGCAGAAGCACGCAGATGAAAGAAGCTTTATTAGTGACATTTTAATCCAGAATTAAAATATTTAAACATATGCCTCTTTAATGTTAAAACTGTATCTAGCTAGGACTGAAGTACTTGTGCATATGTAATGTACTCCTCACTGCTAATTCAGTTTGCTGGGTTTCAGCAGGGGCTGTAGCAGAGCCAGCAACTCATTGCATGTAGCTCCAAGAGAGCAGCAGCTTTGAGTGCCTGTCCATGTGTCTGCCTGCAACGCTGGCGCTGATGTAATGAAACCCTCTCTGTATAAGAATTAATATTCCAGTAATGCCCAGAGGTTGTAAGTGTGTAGTTAATAGCTCCCAAGGCCAATGGAAATTAACACAGCCGTAGCAGTCACACATTACTTGCTGCTGGTGCAGTATATCTTTGTGAAAACTAATATAGAAAATCATTCTCTTAAGAATAGCATCAATTAACTGATTTAATTCAGCGATTAGTCACAAAATGTCTTATTCCTGTAGTGCTCCCAGTAAGTAATGTGGAAATACCTGATGATTAGGGAGCTAAATGCAAGGTATGTTTTTAATTTCAGGAGGCAAACTGTGGCTGTGTTGTGCTGAACTCTGTAAGACAGCTGTGGGCAAAGCTTTGGAAGCTTTCACAAGCAGGCATTAGCGATGCTTGATACTACTGGCTACAGATAACCAAAAAGATCTCATCTTTGCCACTACAATTCTCCAGCACCATTTTAGAATTAAATCCCCAGCAAAGGGCATCCGCAGCTTTCTCGTGAGAGAGGGTGTGCACCCTACTGTAGGGGCTGTGTGCTGTGCCATCTCATTATGGTTAACTTCTATGCTCACCAAAGTTAAACAGGAGAGACAGACAAGGCAAAGCAAAAAGGCTTGGGAATTTCTTAATCCTTGCTTTTGCTACCTGAGGTAGGAGCGCTGGAGGTGATGGGGGAAGAAAAGAGAGGAACTGGCAGGAATCTGCTTGTGAGTAAGAAACAGTGCTTTATCTGGCTTTACATTGACAGATTCATACACACTTATTTCCCATTACCTCAGAGAGCCCCTCTTTATATGCTGGAAAAGATTCCCCCAATAAACGGAGTGCTGACTTCTCTGGGTTCTGGCAAAGGAAATGTTTCCATGTGTACGTGCTCCCGTGATTTCTTTCTCTCTTTAACCTTGAAGCAGCATTTCCTCTAGCTGTGCAAGGTGTACCTTGCTTTCTGTGCTCTCAAGTAAATCAACATATGCTTGCATTCTTTTGTCTTTGTGCCCTTGTTGTTAATTCCAAAGGTTGATTCCAATCTCCACATGGCAGGGAAAACAAAGGCGAGGGATAGGGTGGCTGTGCAGCCACATGTCCTCAGTCATATGTTCTAATGCCAGAGTGTAGGGCTTGCCAGCTAAGGGCGAGAGTCCCATTAGCCCTCACCTCCTGGCCATACCCTGCTCAGTGCTGAGCAGTGCATATGTGCTGGGTCATTGCTCAGAGTACACTGTGCATCCTCTCCAGTGGCTGATGCATATAGGAGAGATACCTTCTTTCTGGTACCTGCAGCTCACAGATTTAAATCAAGATTTTCATAAGGTGCTTCATGATACTAAAGTTCAAGCAGGAAGCTGGTTATGCCTTTGTTATGGAAAGTACTACAGGCTTTCCCTCTAAATATTAGCATTTTTAGGGTCTTTTCAGTTTAATAATTCAGATGTTGAAAAACAACAGCATCTGGCCATAGGGAGTGTTGCAATGTTGGTGATAGAGGTGCCTGTGGTGACAGTGGCCAAAGCAAGTCGAATTGCTGCCACACATTTGTGTCTGCTCAGGGCACGTGGTGTACCAGCGCATGGGGCAAGCATGGGTCGTTACGTGGAGCGTGTTGGCACAAGCGTGCAGGAGGTGACAAGGCGCTCAAAACCCAAGCAGACTTTTCAGAAAAAGGGACTATGAGAAGAAGGTGGATCTCAGGGAAGGTGGACTAACACTGCCCTGCTTGTGTTCCTCTTCGCAGCTCAGGAGTGAAGACGCTGCCCCACAACGCCAAGGTGCACTACAACTACGCCAATTTCCTGAAGGACCAGGGCCGTAACGTCGAGGCGATCTACCACTACAAAACTGCTCTCAAGTAAGTCCCTGGTGGGGCTCCAGCTGTGTGGTGCAGCCTGCTGTTAGCCCACCCTTTCTCACCAGGCATAGGGCAAGTCATCCACTCCTCACCCCCATCTCCCAGGAGCAACAGCTTATGGAGGCTGGGAAAGTTCCCTGGCACGACGTTTGTCATTAAGTGAGGTGGCTTGGCATCTCTCCAGCTCCATGTGTGTGTGCACACTTCCAGTATATGAGATAGGACTGTTGCCATAGCTACAGATAGAGCAATGAGTTGTCATTTATGCAGCTAAATGTATGCTGGTAAGCAGGAGGTATAGTTGTCATAAATGCATTTTCAGGTTCCTGGGCCATTTATCTTAGTAAACTGTTGATGGTGCATGCTTGGAAAATGCCAGTGCTGTAGCCATCTGAAGTGCAGTAATAACAATAGTACTTACTGCTTGTATTGAGGCTTCTGTCTGCAGAGCTTTTGCATCAACACTAAAATAATTGATCCTGAAAATGCTCCTGTGCAGTAACAGGATAAATAGCGTCACTGTAGCTCTCTGCAGGGGCAAGCTGAAGCAGGAGGGTGAATTACCTTTCCCATAGATGCATGGTCCATATGGGCCTGGGGCTGGGCTGTAATACAGGACGTCTCTGAAGGACCCTCCTGAGCATGCGTCCCTGTGAGCAGCATCCCTCCACTCACTGCTTCTGCCAGTGCTGTTCGTGTAGCTCAGCTGGGGCCTTGGCTGCTACCCACTGCCCAGGCAGTGCTTGGTGCAGCAAGTAGGTCTCCCCATGTCCCTAAACCTCTCTCCTCTGGTCCTGGGAAAGCAAACATGGAAGATGCAGAGAATGTCTTCAGGAATAAAAGCATGTGTGGGAAGGATGGACAAGGTGAGGAGTAGCTCTGAAAGACAGCTCAGCTCCATAGGGCATGTCAGGAGGTGCAAGAAAGGTTCTTTCCTGACATGTGGTGTGGCAGGAAACTCCAGAAATTACATCTGTGTTTTGTCTCCTAGCCAGCTGACAGACTTATAGCATAGGTTCTGCAAGAGCTCCTAACCCCCACCCAGGTTAAGCTGGGAGGACAGAAGTTCATTGTCACTGAGGAGGGCCTGAACCTGGGTGAGGGTGATTTTTAGCTTTTTTGAGCAGCATCCTGTTTTATCATGCTGAGCATTTAGGAAGTCATTTAGAAAAACCTCCATCCTATTTTTTAATGTTTCCAGGAATGGAAAACCCAGCACAACAATCAATAAATTGTACTGAAGGTTAATTACCTTGGCCGTTGAAAATGTCCTTGTTTACTTTTAGTCTGATTTGTTTAATGTCAGCTTGCAGTCATCAGATTTGTTTACACCTTTAATACCACTGTGAAGATCCCATTACTAAAAGGCTGTTTTCCACAGAGTGATCAAATCCTCCCTTAACCTGCTCCTTGATACAACCCACTGATGTAGCTGCTGGTGTTTTCAGCATTATGCAAGGTTTTGCAGTCCTACAGTTGTTCTAGTAGCTAGTCTCTGAACTTTCTCCCAATTATCAGAGAAACCCATTGCAAGTTAAAAAAGAAGGACAAGCAAAAATTATCCAAGCCCTGCAGCGAACTTGTTAGTAATCAGAGTAATGTAACTGCTCCTACAGACATTGCCTCTGCTTGTGTAAATGGGTTTTGCTGACAAAAGATTTTGCTTTTCACTAACTTAGCAGCACCCCTCTATTATAATGTTGCCTTCTCTCTGCAGTATATCAATTACGAAAGAGTCTGTTTTGAGAACTGTTTACAAACATTTCTTCAACTTTATTAGATAGGAACGTTTGTGCTGATTGTATTGTTTATAGAGCATCTGAAGCCCTTTGGGCTTTGGAACCACGCAGAATCTCACTGCTCTTCTCTAGGTGCTCAGTATCTCAGTAGCAGTGGTGCTGGTGCTCCACTTGCTTCAGTAATTTCAGGATTAACTGGCACTTCTGAAAAGTGAGCCCCTGTCACTGCTTTGCGCATTCACTGTCTGACCTGGCAGTGCAGGCCGGGAGCTGGGAGTCTCCTGCTGGCTCTGTCACTGGGAAGCTGCATTACTTTGCCCCACCACCTCACCTCTCTGCACTTACGCCTGCCTTATTTTTAAAGCTTCTTCCCACCCTTGTCATAGGGAAATTATTTGAGGCCTGTGTAATAAGCAATAAAACCGTGCAAGTAAGAAGTATAGTGTGTTCTCCTGTTGAGAAATACATTTTGTGTTTTCCCTTCAGATGTACCCCTTCTGAAATGCTTGAGGTTGTGTGTAGGCCTTTTATCCTCCCCTAGGTGCCTGTGCATGATGGCCACGTTGAAACAGTGGAGAAGGAGGTGGAGGTGGGACAGGCAATGTGATGGTGGGTATAGTGGAAGACCTTAGACAGGTATTGTAGGTAAGAACAGATTTCACGTCCAAGCTGTTTACTCATCCTCACAGACTCCAGCTGTGCAATCTCTGCTCTGATTGTAGACCAATTACTCTATAATTAGAGAGAAGGAAGTAGTAGCTGTAATATCCTGACCAGATTTTGATGGTTCAGGGTATTTTTGGCCCTGGCCTGACCTGAAAATGGAAGAACAGCTGGGAAGCTGAAGCACCACTCACTCTGTGAAGTTCCTTATCAGGGAGTAAGTGGAACAACAGCTCAGGTGCTAACACAACAAGCTTCCCTTATTTCCTCCAGGTACCCCTCAGTGAGTGTCTGCTCTCTGGCTGAGTCTGGGTGGGTCGATGCTCCCCAGATTATAGAAACCACCAGCTACTCAAGAGGCTTTGCAATCCAGTGGCAGCACTGTCAGAAGTACAGATCAAAGTATTGTATCTGTCTAGTGCACAGTGAGCAGATCAATAAGGGAATTAATAAGGAAATGGAGTCAATAAAGACATGGGCTGCTGCCACTGTTGCCTGGGAGGGAGCTCCTGGGAGGTAGGAGAGGGAGAGCATCATTGCCCCATACCAGCTCCATCTGAGGCCTCGTGGATGATGGGTCATCCGTCGTTCCAGCCCACTTCTAAAGCTTGTGTTACAGTGTAGGTCTGCTTGAGCTCTGGTGAATGACTCTGTTTGCTAAATAGAAGTGATCCTGTCCGTCCGGACGGAGCTGCTTGAGCTGGTCGCAGTTACCATTCTGCCAGCGTAACGATGCATTTGCTACATGCTGCTTTTCTGCCAGAAGTGCTGGTTGCCATGTAGCTGTTTAGCAAAGCGACCCATTGCTCCTGTGAAGTAGGCAGGTGATGTAGCTGTAGCTGTGGAGAAGGATGTTGAAATGCGCCCGGGTTGCGTAGTGAAATAACAGCAGCGGAGACGAAATCCCGGGGAAGCTGATCCCTGCTGCTTTCCTGCTTCCAAAGGCAGGCAGGATCCTTTGCTGGCTCGTGATGGTGTATCTCTGTTAGCTCCATGGCAGATAAATGATGGAGAAGAAGAATGTATTTTCTCTGATGGTGAAACTGCAGGGCAGGTTTCCAAGGCAAACTAGGCAGTTGATCCCAACAACCACCTGTTGATGCCGTTGCAGGTGGCCTGTCAAAAACTTATTCCTCACCCCAGCCCAGGGACCAGTGACCGAGCACCCTGGCTTAGGTAATTGTTGCAATCTAATTATACTGTCTAAAAGAGAGAGGAATGAAAACTGACATGAAATACAAAAATTGAGAACAATATTTGAATTTGAGAGGGGAAGAATAAAAAGGAAAAAAAGTTCTGTGTGCTTAAAAAAAGCTCCTTCTGTAGATTGTGTTGGATTGGAAGCAGAGCCCTTTGGAGATGCGAGGTGAGTCACCCGTAAAGCAGACCTGATGAACAGCTGGCACTCTGCAGTTGTAGCAGTAGGTTATAAACCTTTCAGCTTGCCTTCAGCGAGACAAGAAAAACACACTGCTGGATTAGACTGCTGTGCCTATTTGCCTGACATACAGTAGTGTCTCCAGGAGATAAGTGGGGTTTCTTCTGCCTGCAAAATGTAAAGGCCAGACATACTCTGTCTGAGATGCGAGTTGACCAAGACTGCTCTGAAAGCTGGCCTTAGCATCCTTGCTGCTGCTTCTGCTGCAGATTGGCGGCTGTTGATAGGAATTTCAGAGACCTCCTGCTCATGGGGATCAAATGGTGCTGGTCTTATCTGAAATAAAACTTGTCTTGCCACCCTCGTGTTTGTGAGTGAGAATATGAGGCCATGCAACCTCATACAAACGTGACGAACAACTCTGATGTGTTAATGAAGACATTTTTGCTGTTGTTGATAGTTACCAAGCTTTTGTCCTGCTTCTCCCCAGCCGTGTTTCCTTGACGTTTCTGCTGAGACTTTTTATTGCTCCTCAGCAATGCACATGAGCTGACATGAAGAGAGGATAGAACAGCAGATCCTTAAAACCCATCTGATGAATAGTCATTATGTCTTTAATAACCCTTTTAATAATGGGGGGTGGGATGTGGGGTGGTGGGTTGGTGTGTGTCTGTGTGTGAAGGAATTGTGCTACAATTGTACATGTAGCTTCCATGCTACAATTGCACTCATTCAAAATTTTAATTCCCGAAGCAACTCTGTTTTACCACGTATCTCTGTGTTTGTTGCCAAGGCTTTGCTTCTCATGGATGGCAGATCAATGGGAGCCACAGCAGGTGAGGCTGGAGGAGGTTGCTGGATTTCTTGCTGGAGCTGGGTGAATAAACCTGCTAATAATAGTTCTGTGCTATTCAAGCTATGTTTCTGTGCCTGGTAAAAGGTCAACATCTAAAAATTCATGTTTGTACCTTTGAATATAAAAAATACAGATTTACCCTTAATTAAAAAATGTCAGTAGAGTATCATGGTAAAGTTAATAGTGGGGGAGAAAGAGTTATCTTTGTGTGAAGGCAGATACTGTGACCATCAAAAGATAAAAAATGGTCAAATTGTAACAGGCTGTTGGGGGTGACAGGGAGACTCAGGTTGGCCCTGCAAACATCAGTTACCCCAGGGCAACCTGGAACTACTCCCTGGGATGCTGCTTTTTCCCAAGGAAG